TTCGCTCATGACATCATTGAGGTGCTCAAGCTCCAGCGCCCCGACAAGGCGGTGATCCTTTGCTGGAGCAAGCAACTGTAAAGCAAGGCAAATCAGGATCCTGGGAGATGGAACACTCCTATATTAGTTACTAGCTGTCCACCGTTGGTGGACAGGAAAAAAATTTAAAGATGGGCTCAAAGCCAACCTTAAAAACTCTGGCATAGACACTGAGAACTGGGAAGCCCTGGCCCTTGAGCGCTCCAGCTGGAGGACAGCTGTGACCAGCAGTGCTGCAGAATTTGAGGAGGCACGAGTGGAGGGTGAAAGAGAGAAACGTGCCAGGAGGAAGGCGCGTCAAGCCAACCCTGACCGGGACCGCCTCCCACCTGGAAACCAATGCCCTCACTGTGGGAGAAGATGCAGAGCAAGAATAGTGCTCCACAGCCACATACGGACCCACAAGGAAATCCATAATGGAAGACCATCTTACTCGTCCAACGAGGGATCGCCTAAGTAAAGTAAGTTACTAGCTGTACCCGCCACGAGTTGCTGTGGCCAACCTTCCCCTTTTCTCTCCTTCTTTCTTTCTCTCCTTCCTTCCCTTTTTTTTCCTTTTCTTCTCTCCTTCCTTCCTTCTCTTCCCCTTCCCTTCCTTTCCCCCTTTTCTTCCCCTTCTCCTTTTTCTCCTTTCTTCCTTCTCTACCTATTCCTGGACTGCAACTCCTAGCAGTCCTCCTGATCCATCTACCTACCTACCTTTCTATTTCCATCTAATCTATCTATCTGGAGGATTGCTGGGAGTTGCAGTCCAGGAATAGGAAATTGGAAATATGAAGAGATTGGGAGGCTCTCAAAGAAATCCAAGGAGAAGAAAGTTTTAGGAGAGGAGGATGAGCCAAATTCATTGCTTCCAAAAGCAACTCATTTGGATCATCCTCCTCCCCTAAAGGATGATCTTTTGTTATGCCAACTCCACTGCGGGCATTTAGGGCATTTCGATCCCACCCTTCTCACTCCCTAGGGGAGACTCAGGGCGGCTTACTTCCGGCACAATTCGATGCCAACAATTACAATAAAAATGCAAATAACAATAAACACAATAGTTTAAAACATACCATTAATACAATATCAACTAAAAAGCCGATCTACAGCCTGCATTTATCGAGTTCTAAAATTCATCAATCCATTTAGCATTACCATAATCCTTTCCAACTCTAGTCATCATTACCTTGTTAATCTGCCAGATTACCCAAATGCCTGGTCCCATATCCATGTCTTCAGCTTCCTTCTGAAGGAGAGGAGGGATGTTGATGACCTAATATTCCCGGAGAGTGAATTCCACAGGCGAGGGGCCACCACTGAGAAGGCCCTGTCCCTCGTCCCCACCAGCCTCACTTGTGATAAAGGTGGGGCTGAGAGCAGGGCCTCCCCAGAAGATCTTAAACTCCACAGTGGGACATAGAAGGAGATAAGTTCGGACAGGTACGCTGGGCTTCCGAACACAATTCAAAGTGCTGGTTTTAACCTTTAAAGCCCTAAATGGTTCTGACCCAGACTACCTGTCCGAATGTATCTCCTCCCACGAACCATAAGATCTTCAGGAGAGGTCCTTCTCTTGATCCCACCACTATCGCAAACACGGTTGATGGGGACGAGAGACAGGGCCTTTTCAGCAGTGGCCCCTCGCCTATGGAATGCCCTCCCTAGAGATATCAGATTGGCCACCTCCCTCTTGTCCTTTAGAAGGAAAATCAAGACCTGGTTATGGGACCAAATGTTTGATCAGTGAGCAGCAAGTGGAAGAAGATCACACAACTTATGGCAATGAATTGACTCGGACTGGTTTTTGGATTTCGATTATAATGCATGTATCTTAATTAATTGTTTTAAGTGTTGTTTCAATATTTTTAATATTTTGATTGTACTGTGGTTGTTTTATGATGCTAGCATAGGCTGCCTTGAGTCCCCCTTCGGGGGGAGAAGGGTGGGACATAAATATAGGAAATAAATAAATAAATAAAGGGCCTTGTCCTAGGGGATGCTGGGAGCTGTAGTCTGGAAGAAATGCAATAATAATAATAATAATAATAATAATAACAGAGTAAAATAATACACGATTTTGACTCGAGCATAAGCCAAGGAAGCTTTTTCAGTCTAAAAGAAGGGCTGAAAAACTAGCATTATACTTGAGTAAAGGTAAAGGTAAAGGTAGTCCCCTGACATTAAGTCCAGTCATGTCTGACTCTGGGGTGTGGTGCTCATCTCCATTTCTAAGCCGAAGAGCCAGCGTTGTCCGTAGACACCTCCAAGGTCATGTGGCCGGCATGACTGCATGGAGCGCCGTTACCTTCCCGCCGGAGTGGTACCTATTGATCTACTCATATTTGCATGTTTTCGAACTGCTAGGTTGGCAGAAGCTAGGGCTGACAGCGGAAGCTCATGCCGCTCCCTGGAAACAAACCTGCGACCTTTTGATCAACACTCAGCAGCTCAGTGCTTTAACCTACTGCGCCACTGGGGGCTCCTATATACTTG